CGAACTCCGGTCCTGGAGAGCCGCAGCCCTGCAGAGTTCAGCTCCAACCCTAATTAAAACTCACCTGCCTGTAGCTTTGTAGTAAGCCTTTAGACCTTGATTAGCTTGTTCAGGTGTGTTTGATTAGGGTTGAAGCGAAATTCTACAGGGCTGCGGCTCTCCAGGACCGATGTTCGCCACCCCTGCCCTATACTTAAGATGTGGAGACCAAATATAACACTATAATGAATTTCCCATATTTGTCATAACATTACTACATTATATTCTATGGGTTTAATGCATTTGCAGACAATGTAATCACATGTAACTGTCATATAACTTTATATTCACTGTTTGAGAGTGCCATTGAATGTGTAGCTAATATGAAGTGTGTTTTCATGAAAAAAAAAATCTAACTAAAATCAGAACTGAAAACAAACTCTGGATGAAAAAAACCTCCCAATAAATGTCCAAACAGCGATTCTATCACAGCAGTTATTGTGTTATAGAGGGGTTTGACCAACCAGTTAGACAGACAGATTACTAGGTTATTTATTTGCACAAATCATCCAAGCACCCCAATCCCAGCCATTTCTAATATACTTTTGATTAATATGACTAAATATTAAATTGTAACGAAATTAAAGATCCATCTTTGATTGTCAAAAGAATTCCAGCTAATTAGATTTCACGTAGCATTTTAATCGGTCAGTCATGGAAGTCTGATTTGTTGATAACTTTTGACAACGGTTTAATCCAGGTGCGAAAAGAATTCATTTCTAGCGCAAGAGCACGGAGAGATTTACGAGTGCAAAGGACACAGTTTGAGCACGAGGAGAGATTTGTGATTGCATTTTAAGTGCTTTAAGTGCGCGCACACTCTCTGGGAGAGCAGCGCATATCTGAAGGCTGATTTATACTTCCCTACACCGTCTACACCGTAGCTTACGCATAGACGCACACCCATACGCCGTAGCCTAACGTGCACCTCTCCAAAAATCTAACAGCGCGTCAATTCTACGCAGACCGCAAGTGCTGTGATTGGTCTGCTAGAACCCCTACCTCCGTATATACTTGAGTTTAGTGTGTGTTTATGTGCACTTTAATATATTTTAATGTTACACCTTCTTGTTCCATGTTCCATTGTTGTCTCCTTTTTGTAGTTTTAAATAATGATTTGATATTTATTTGCCGCCGTATAATGCTTAATGCTTCGCCGACGAGCCGCTTCTTCTTCGGCTTTTGCCGTGGTACTGCGGGTTACACCAGCAACATGCCCGTGGACACTGCTGACTAGCGGTTTGCATGTGTACTGCACGTTGACGCGGA